CTAAAAAAAAAAAAAAAAAAAAAAGATGCCAACAATATCCATACATTACATTTGGTTATCTTTTAAGTTGCTTCTAATCTATAGGACTCCCCTCTTTTTGGGTTCTATCTTTCTGCAGTACACACAGGACAGACTCAGCCTACGTAATTTCTGAAACTAGGAATAGGCTCCTGAAACTAGAAGTAGGTGCTGAGTGCCATCACTTTAGGGAGCTGTCATGAGAATCACGAAGGGGTATCTGGCATTGCCAGTTAGAAGAGGGGTAAAGGGACAGTGCCTGGCCTCCAATAACAGCACTTCAGAGCTGCAAAAGTCCTCCAAGATCATCTTGTCAAGGACTCTCATTTTAGAAAGGGTAGTTGTATAATTCCTCTGAGTTCATTCACGTAACAAGTGAATAGTACCAACACCTAATTCTTTACAGGGAACAGAAAGCAGCAACATCTCTCTCTCACTTGATGAACACGTCTTTAGCTGTTCACATTTCCCTGCTACTCTAGTGCTAGGCAAACTAAGACTGACAGCTACTTGAAGATAATGTAATATTTCCAAATTAAAAAAAAAAAAAACACCTTAGTTTGTACTACAAAATTAAATGCAAACTTCTAATTTATCAGCAGGTAATTTTACATTGTCAGTCATCAATGGATTAAATACATGAAACGGTCATCTATTATAAAGAGCTCAAAAAGACCTGATGAGGAACAGTATTCAAAATGTCAAAGCTTATTTTAGGAACTATTTTCTTTTTCTTTTTTTTGAGACAGAGTCTCACTCTGTCATCCACGCTGGAGTGCAGTGGCACGATGTCGGTTCACTGCAACCTCTGCTTCCCAGGTTCAAGTGATTCTCCTGCCTCAGCCTTCCGAGTAGCTGGGATAACAGGCGCCTACGACCATGCCCGGTTAATTTTTGTATTTTTAGTAGAGACGGGGTTTTACCATGTTTGCCAGGCTGTTCTTGAACTTTTGACCTCGGGTAATCCACCTGCCTTGGCCTCCCAAAGTGCTGGGGTTACAGGCATGCACCACTACAACCAGCCTATTTCCTATTTTTCATATTGTGCCTTCTCTTAAGAGGGTTGAGATAAAGATGCTTACCTGCAAATGTTACTTCTACTGCTTCTGGTTTGTTTCTGTAAACAACAAAAATAAAGGCCCTCAGTTAAGATGACTGCATTGCTGCTTACCTTCAAGGGGAACGGGAAAGGCTCTTGAGCTTCACTTAAGATCAAACCATTCTGTATAAATTTTAGGTTACAGCCAATCAGAGTACACCATTCATTTTCTCATGGACCTGAACCTTTGTACTTGCTTTAAGTAGAAGATAAAAAAGGAAGGTCAGCTATAGCTTTTGTTTTTCACTGGCTGTTGAATCTATGCATGCTATATATCTGTTTGTATATGTACACCACAAAAAGCCATCTTTTGGTCAGTGCCTCTCCCGCTCGACAGTGGTATTAGGAGTAATACGTTCAGCAGAAAACTGGCTAAGTATAATGTAGAATGGTTTTAATATGCCTGAAGTGAAAGGATAATTTCAGGCCACAAACAAAACAGCAAGTTCGATTCCACTTCAAAACCCATCTATCTATAAGTCTTCCTACTCATCTTTCTCTCTTCCTTTACATCATCAAAGGACTTACCACTCACCTTCACAAAGCCCTCTTTAGTTCTACCCTAGTTTTGTCTTGCTTTTTAAATTCTAGCTCTGAACTTAAAATAGACAGTGTAGCACAAAATAACACCACGAAATCACTGAGAATAGTCAGGACATCTGCTTTACAACTTTAGCTTTCTCATCACACTCATGTTTTGGGACAAACTAACACGCTTACACCTTTGTGTTCTCCCCTATTATCAATAAAATGGGGGAATACAAATGATCCTATTTACCTCTACACGGAACTCTACAGATAACAAAAGAACGGACCTGAAGTCCAAAGCAAGAAACAAATGAAGCCTTGATTGCCTTATCTATTTATTTATTTATTTATTTATTTTTTTTGAGACGGAGTTTCACTCTTGTTACCCAGGCTGGAGTGCAATGGCGCGATCTCGGCTCACCGCAACCTCCGCCT